AAAACACTTAGGAACTTAAAGAAACTTATAGAACTGTTACAGATAAGTTAAAAATCTCTATACCGGACAAAAAAGAATAACTAGTATAGGAATTGAACCTACGACCTCGTAGACCCTATCGAATTATAGCGCCTTAGAGTTCTTAACGACCTAGGGCAGTATAGCTCGAGGAGCGGGGACTCTAATAGCGTACCTAGCAACTATGTCTTTTATAGCTAAGAATTATACTACTAGACTAACTAGCTAGAAGATAAAATAGATAGGAAACATTGAAAATATATACCTTTAAGACACTAGACTCTCGGCACTCCTACTAGGAATTTCAGAGGTAGGCTAGGACGTCCTATCTAGACGACTCTAGTTATAAGGCGACATCTATAATCGGCTATCTAGGGGAAACGGCTCGTTAGCAGGCAACGAGAATATTATCGGCTCTATAGGCGAAGAGCCTAGCTCTCTTTCGAGCTCCTCCGCCTATTAAATAGAGGCTTCCTCTACCTTAAGAGCTTATACCTCCCGATCTTCCTTTATACGTAGCGACTTATATAAGCGACGGACCTTTACGCGATACTCGAAAAGCTTCCGCGTAAGGAGGTCTTCCTCCTCTTCGGCCGCTTCGAGATCTTTAGCTATCTTTAGGCGCGCCTTCCGGATTTTTTTATACTCTATACGAGTAACTTGCATATTATAGGACTAGCCGTATAGGGCGCACTCGGAGTAGCGGCCGGAACGGAGATCGACTTTATAGGATTTATCGGCCTATTCGTAATAAAAGCAGCGGATCGGCATTTCGAGGCAGTCGGTAAGGATATTATTTGCGATATTTTCCTTACGCTAACGAGAAGACAAGTCCTTTAATGACTTTAGTATAGCAAAGAAGTTGGAATTAGAAAGTTCCGGAATAAGGGACTATCCCGCTTAAGGAGGGGGATAGTGTTACGGATCTAATTAGTTAGAGTCCTTATATAATCTTAGAGCGACGCTAAGACTAGTAGGCTAAGCTGTCGCTCTATCTTACTAGGAGCGATAGGAGCGGTCGAGAGCGACAGCGTCGCTTACGTCGCTTACGACTATAGACAAGATGTCTCCTTTATATTTAGGAACGCCGGAATGCCCTTATAGCTCGAGGCGTTTAACTTATATTACTTACTTACTAATTGGAATTACCTTTATACTAATTATTCTGTCTCTGCCTCCCGCTTGTATTAGCCTCTCTAAAGAAGCCTCGGCTTGCACGTAATAAGAAGTCACTTAACGATCTGTCGCGAGTAACCGTAACAGTAAGGAACGATACCTCGGGAACTAGAGGGCCTAAGTTTCTTCCTAAATCGCAAAGTAGTC